ATTCGAGAACCACGTGACAGGATGAACACATAAATCGAGAATTGGAATCGAGAATCAAAGGAAGAATATGTCTATTGTTGAAGAAAATCGAGAAATTAGAATCAAGTGTAATGTTAAGGTTAAGGGGAATCAAAAGCAATTCAAAGTTCTCGAGATTTGAAATCGAGATCGAGGGAAAGATTAACCTACATGGCTATCGAAATTATGACTAAGTTATAAATTGAGAACCGGTTAAACGCGTATGGAACGTGGAAACAGTTTTCTAAAACCGTAGAACTAAAGTAAAACTTCGAGGGACGTGCACGTAGAACGTGGTAGCAGTTTTCGTTAACTGCTCTCAGGAGGTTACGTGAAGGATGCTCTATAAATAGAGCGAAGAGTGAAGGAAAGAGGGAAATTGGCAAGGAGAACAGAAACGTTAGTGAAAAGTCTACAGGAGAACGACGCATCATGAAGTTTCTAATGCTCTGGATTTCCATTATCGTTGATTTTCTTTATCGTTTTCTTTACTTTCCCTGGTAATTTATGTTCATGCAATTTACTTTCATGCAATTTACATTTACCAACTTTAAGTTTCTGCACTTTCAATTCCTTGTCATTTTACCTTTATGCAAGTTAAAATTCTGCGTTTAAGTTCTTCGTCATTTACATTTTTGTAATTTCAACTCATTGTCATTTACATTTCTCTGCAATTTAATATTCTGCACTGCTTTTCATTTCGATAACCTTTGCTGCTTTCTTTACTTCGCGCTTCTTAATAAAAAATACCAAAAATAGTACTTTCGATTATCAATCCGCACACTAGGTTGTATTGTTAGCGTTTTTCGATACTATGGAATTTTTTATTCTCATGCATGTTTCGATTGAAAATTGTTTGCTAGTCTAAGTAAAAAGAATCTACGTGGTTGAAATTTGGTTAGAACTCAAGTCTCTGATTTAATCGAAATCGATCAAATTTCTACCAGAAACACATATACAAAGAAAAAGCTTTCGAATCATCCTCTTGATCCGACAAATGGATCACACATCTATAAAATTATATCCTTATCATTATCAAAACAATTAAAGGGTTGATTATGACTTAAATGCTTCAATAATTTTACAATAATATAATCAAAAATTTCATGAATAATTTCAATTTTAACTCATGGATACAAAATAATATCGCTCATTTCTTTTAAGGATTTATCAATCATTTTTGCAACACAAAGAGTAACACAACCCAAAGAACAACTGAGATGAGACAAATACACCTGGACAATGAGTTTGCATAAGGAAGGAGAAAGCCAATTGAGAAAAATATACTATAAGAGAAGTGAGAAAGTAAGGATGAAATGAAACACGAAGGAGACAACGAAAGAAGAAATAAGAAACGCAAAAGAGATGGAAGATATGCATAGCATGTCACGTGACTAAATAAAAAGTTTCGACAGCCTCGAAGAGTAGGGAAAAAGTTATTATCACATCGACGTGATAGTCGGGGTCACGTATTAATGAATGATACTTGTAATAATTGAGATCAACAAATTGTCAATATATAAAGCTTTAATGTTTAATACTTGAGACTGTAGATTGTGTGATGTTTAAATAATTTGACTCGTGACTGAATCAATCACCTGACAAACTGTTTAATTAAGAATTTTTTTAAAATAAAATATAATATCTTGTCTTTAATTACGAAGCGAAGACTCTAACTCAATATTAAAGATAAATATAATAAATAGACTAAAATTAACGGATAAAATTTGAAAGAAAAATATAAAAAAAAAGTATTTTCATGAGGTGAATTTTGAGTTGTAACATTTCTTTATAAATATTATTTAAAATAAATTAAATTTAGATATATAAAAACTATTTAACAGGTAAGGAAAAAAATTGTTTTTTGGTTGTTGGTTAATTGTTAACTTCAAGACTGATTGGTTTGGGAAAGAAGTTGAAAACTTATATCTTTTATATTTTATTATTATTTATTTATAGTTACTAATTTATTGATAATAAACTACACCTAACCCAATATCACTTCCAAACAATATCAAAAATCATATCCTCAAAATGAACTGGGAGTAGATATTCTAAGTAAAATTTTTATTCCAGTCTTTATTTCATAAAAATATAATTTAAAATAAGATTAACTAAAATATAGAATACTCTACACATATAATATAATATATATAATAATTCATTTATTTTTTTAAAAATTGAAATTTTATCAATCGTTTTCACCATTACTTTTTTATATATAGTTGTTGAAATAAGTAAATATATAAAATTGTATGAGATTTTTTTATTCATGTTTAGTGCCATACGTTTATCAAATTATATTATTTTTTATTAAATAAAATTAATTATTTTTATTATGTCACTAAAAAATAAGAAAAAAGACAGAAAAACAAGTTATTATATTATCATAGAAAGAGAAATATTATAATATATATTTTTGAAAAAATAGAAAAAAAGAAGATAAAATAAAATTATATATTATTATATGGAAAAATAAAAAAATTGTTATTATGATATTATTACAAATAAAATATTAGTTAATTTATTTTTTAAAATAAGTATTTAATAAAACTTAAGAAATTCTAAATATTGTTTGTAATTATTTAAATAAATACAAAAATGATGTAGTATATTGATTCAAATAATTTTTTGATTTTCATAAATTCTCAAAATTCATTTGATAAAGTATTAACGATAAAAATATCTCTCTATATGTACCAATACCATATGTTACATCTTGCCAATTTAAGTCAATTTCAATCATCATATTTTACTTGCGACAAAGAAAGTTGAAAAGAAAGAAAAACAATTTGAGAGAGGCAATAAATGCTGCTAAAAAATAGGAATTTGTTGGATGGATTTGATCATTTCCTCTGTAGAGGACGTTAGGGTGACAAATCCAAGAAAAACAAAAATATGACGATAATAATGGGTTGTGCGATGAATGTACATTAGCTGACCCAGACGTTGTTCCATCACAACTTCAGTGAATGAAATAATGTAGCACAAAATTAATTGGAAATTGGTTGGGGTGAGTTTCTTTCCAGAGATTTTTAAAAATAGAAAAATATAAAAAATTAAATTAAATCAAGTTTTTAGTTAAAAAAACTATGAACATTTTTTTTATTAATTAAGTTGTACATAACTAATCTTAAATTTTTCAATTTTTTTATTTTTTATGGAAATTCCTTAACAAAAAAAAAAGACTTTATGGTTGAAATAGATACATCCCATCTTTGAACGGGTCCCCAGGATCTCACTTATTGCATGTGTCGATCGGACCCTTTTGCTTCCTTATTTTTCAGAAAATAGAATAATTGGAAATATGTATGAAAAAAAATATCAAGATAGTTTGATATAAATTTGTAAAAAATCACACCATCCTCTAACTACAAATTATCTCATTTGATAATATTTTTTATTTTATACAAATAACACTAGAAGTCACCCTAACATTAACTTATGATTGCTGTAAAACAAAATACTTTACATGTTTACACTATCATTTATCACTATAAAGCTAAAGAAGTTAAAAGTAATTTTAAAATTAAAATTATCTATAAACTGATTTTACTCATTGTTTTCTTTATAGTTCTCGTAAGTAATTGTTTTACTTTTCTTCTTGCAGTGTTTCTCTTATTTATAGTAATAGAGTATTATTAAAATTGGTTCTGGTTTGCATCGTAGCATCCGTCACTATCAGCTACATTGTAAATTTTATTTGCCCCATATCCATCTACATATTAATTAGTTATCTTTAATCTGTATATTTTATGAAAATATTCTTATATTAATATTTTTTATGTGATCAAAATATAAAATAATATTATTTTCATTGAATAAAATACAATTATTTTTATTATATTAAAGAGGAAGAGATCATATAAAAAAATAACTATTCATAAAGATAAAATAAAAAGAATATAATACAATAAAAAAATGAAAAAAAAGAACATGTAACCATATATATATATATATATATATATATATATATATATATATATATATATAATAGATGAATTTAAATATTATTTTAGAACTCCAAATTACTAAGTTGGACTGTTTTGATGAATTTAGTTTAACTCCTCCACCAAATTGGGTCATCTGTTCTGGCACATTTAAATCTCTCTTACTTTCATATTTGACTATATAAATATAGTTATTTTATAGTATTTACTGTTTAAGTTTATTTTCAACGTAATTTATTAATATATTTTTTCTTTTCGAATGTTCTGTTAATTTATTTATTACTATTTATTTGACAGTTGACTGTAAGCTAATAATAATGGTGGGTGGAATACAGCATGTCAAAATTAAAAATAATAATAAAGAATGTGAAAAAACAAAATTTAAAATTAGCATAAAAAAATAAAAAATGTAAAATAATAATAATTGGAAAATATAATTGTGTAATTAATTCTTTTATTATATACTATAAAGTTTTGAAATTTACAGTAGACCCCACCCAAGTTTTTAATAAGAACAATTCATCACCTTATTTAAGAAGAATCAATGTGATTCAGTTGCGTTTGCATTTGCAACCACCTAAAAATATGTCAAAATCTTACCCGATAACATTTGACACAAGGCGGTGTGAGCCAAAACTTCAACCCTCTTTCTACAAAATATACAACAGAAAATGTTTGTTAATTAGGGAAAGTGAAGAATAAATGAAAGAAGATGACGATACACGTTCTTGATTCAAACACGGCGTTACAATTAGGTGCACTGTGTGGACACTTTTCAAAATTCTCATTCTTCATGGTACTCGCAAACTTTTTTCTACTCATACCAAATAGCCGCATGGTACCCGCCACCTTATGCAACCCAAAACCAATTATCACCAAACCATGCTCCTTCCATTTCATCACGCTTCACTTCATATGAATGCTATTTCTCTCTGCGTTAGTTGCGTTGCACATCACGTGATAAATCACCCTCATCTGATACGGATAAGCTGCTAAAAACGGAAACATCAGGGTTCTGCCAAAGGAAAAAAAATGTCGAAGAGCCCCAGAAAGTTTTCGACACCCGTTAAATGGGTTTCTGAGATTAATTGGCGTTTAACTGGGTTGATCATCCCTCTCGTTTTGTTCCTCATGTTCTTCTCTCTCCATTACTCCTACACTTCAAACGGTTTTAACGCCTTTTACCCCGTTCAGTTACTTCTCCACCTCCCTTTCGCCAGAGACAACGACCAGGTTTCGAATAAGGAGGAGTTGTTGCGCTCGAAAATTGCTGTGTGTTTGGTTGGTGGCGCTCGGAGGTTCGAACTCACGGGACCCTCCATAATTGAAAATATCCTGAAAGAGTACCCCAATTCGGATCTTTTTCTGAGCAGTCCGTTGGACTCAGACACGTTCAAATTCTCGCTCTTGAAGTTTGCGCCACACGTAGCCGCCGTTCGAATCATCCAACCGCAACCGTTGCCGGAGAACGAATCTTATGCTCGAGTCCTCACTCCCCATAACTCGCCCAACGGCATCCAGGTAATTTCTTTCTTGCTTTTTTATTTATCATTACCACTTTCGCTTTTTGGATTCCTGAAAATACCACTTCGAACCAATTCTCAAGCATATATTGCAAAATTTTGCTTTCTCTGATTCTTAATTTAGTTTAATTTTTATCGTTTCTTTTGGAATAATAAATGATCAATATGGATGGATCATATATCCAAAAACAGTTACTAAAAAACTAATAAACAAAAGATTACAGAAAATTATATTAATTATATCATTAGTTACGCACTTAACACTTTCTTTTCCTATTTTAATTAGTAGGTTGAGTACGGTTTTTAAGAATCTCCGTATTGCTTGATCGATATTGTTTCATGGAAGATTGGAGCGAGTTGCTTGTTCACCCTTGTTCCACCTTCGCAGGCTGATATTTTCATATCAGCATCGATTCTTTTCTTTTTCAGCTCCTCTTCCACAAGTCCATTTTGGATGCTATCGTAAAAGAAAAGTAAAATATATATCAATCTTGACTTCTACATTTCATCTTCCAAACACAATCCCATATCTAGGTTGGTGAAAGGATAAATTGCCACGTCATGAAGAGGTTATCGCAGACACTAAAACGCTAATGTTAGGTTGTGTATTGATGTATACATATACCTGTATGTTAAAAATACTTACATCTGAAATGGATTTTTATTTTTTTAAACATTTTCTATCATGTCAAAACGTTAATTTATACATTTCTGATAGTATTGTGCATTTAAGTTTATATATATATTAGCAGTAATATAAAATATGTCGATATTAAATGTGAAATAATTTAATCTGTAAATATTTGAAAATTCAATATTTTATAATATTTTATATTATATAAAGGTATTGACTTATTAAAAATATATTTTAATATGTAATATATTTACCACCTTTATTTAGGTTAAAAACAAGTCAATAAAGTCTACGCCTTTTCCTATTGGAATACTTTTATTCCCTTTTGTGTAGCATCTAGCTTGAACGTCACTTTTTTAATTCGTTAGCAAGTTAGGGAAATGCTCTAGAATACAAAATGGGACCATATAAAAATCACATTTTAATTTAAAATTCTAACATTTTAAAGATAAATATAAGGATAAGAATAAATAAAATGTAGCCGATGTCATATGCAATATTATTTTTTGAATATTAAAAATAAAGGAACCCTTTTTATGCACTAGCTACCCGTCAACCACTTAACACTTTGCTGCAATTCTAGCCCTCAATCATGTGGTTAATTAAGTCTTTAGATTGTTCACTTTTTTGCTAAGTATGTTGTACATTAAAAACGGTTGTTATTGTAGTACTGTAGTGGATCTGTTAAACCTTATTTGTTTAAGAAACTAATTAATTAATTAATGGGGATATGGATGCAAAAGTGGAAACTTTAGAGTTGGTGGGTTGTATTCAGTTTTGGTAGGGTTGACATGGGTGGTGTGTGGGGAAGTTCCTTTCTGTCCCGACCCGTCCTTTCTCACCCTCAAATGATTCATCCAGTTTTAGAAAAGCTAAACCAACCAAAGTTGCTTAGAGTTGAAGTGTGATCTAACGTAGAAACTAAATGCTAATTATGACTGATATGGTTGGTTTACGTTTGGCAGGGGCTTCTTCAGTACTTTAACCTCGTGGAGGGATGCTTAACAATGATAAAATCACACCAAAAGAAGAACAACTTCATGTACGACTGGGTAGTTCGAACACGTGTAGACGGGTACTGGAACGCACCGTTGGGCCCACAAAACTTCGTTCCGGGGAAGTACCTGGTCCCACCGGGATCCTCGTACGGGGGACTAAACGACCGTTTAGGAATCGGCGACCTCACAACCTCCACGGTCGCACTGTCGCGTCTCTCGTTAATTCCGCACCTCGATTCCGCGGGCTTCACCAACCTCAACTCCGAAGCAGCCTTCAAGGCCCAACTCACGACGCAGAATGTGAGCTATGTAGCGAATCGACTCCCCTTCTGCGTCGTTTCGGACCGCCGCTACGATTTCCCGCCGGGACAGTTTGGCGTGCCCGTGGCAGCGCTGTCGAGCCCAGGGCCGCTGAGTGGCGCGAAATGTAGGCCGTGCACGGTGGTGTGCGAGGGTCTCTGCGTGGAGAGCGTGATGGAGTCGGTGGAGAAGGAGTGGAGTTGGACGGATTGGGAGAACGGTGCGCTTTCGCTCTGCGATGCTCACAAAGAGTGGGAAAGTGGTTGGGAGAAGATTTTCGATCAGGTTGCGGGAAAGAAACATGCCAATGCTAGAAAGCGAATTGAGCGTATGAAAATTGGAGAGTGCGTTAGGGATTTTGATGAGCTGAGAAAAAAGAGTGCGTATTGGAGTGCTCCTCCTGGTGATGAGATTTGTACCTTGGGTTTGAGTCCACCTTAAACTTACACTTTTTTTTCTTCTTCTTCTTCTTCTTTATTTGTAGATAGAGTTTACACACAATTTTCTTCTAGAAATAGGAAATATATCAATTTTTTCTTTCAAACTCTAAATTTCTTTTTATACTGAGTTGTTCTTCAGTTTGCTCCAGGCCATCATCCATCAAAACAATAACAGTCTTATAAAATACTCGTTTCAATTTTTTTTTATTTCTGTTAAGATTATTGTGTAAACAATAAATAAATACATTTTTATTTTCAAAATTTTGATACTAAAAAAATAGAAAGAGTGAAATCCTTCTGTTTAAAGAAAAAAAGTTTGATATTAAAAAATATATATTTCATCATTACAATCAATTTATAATTTGTGATGATTAAATTCATTGTGCACCTCTACAATCTAATTATAAATTATGATAGCATTATTAATTTTTATAATAATTATTTTAAGAATAATATTTACATAATATATATGTAAAATAAGATATATATTATTAAAATTAGTTATAAATATATTTCGAAAACATCAACTAATGATTACCATAAGTTATGTTAATGATAGGTATTTTTGTTAAGTGTGAAAAGATTATACAGAGAATAGTCATTAAACTTTAATAATATTTGAGAATTAATAAACATTTATTGAAAACTATCACATATTTTATTTATTTAGTTCTATCATCCTCTATTTATTTTAGAGGTCCCATCCCTATTTATTGAAAACTATCACAATTAACCTTCCACTTCTATTTTATTTATTTAGATCTATCATCCTTTATTTATTTAAAAGTTTCTCACCTCTTTATATTATATTTTTATTATTTATTATATTGTTTTAAGAGAATTATCACTTACTGATATTTCAACAACTAAACTACTAGAATTTTCCGATAATAATTTATAAATAAATTATATTTATATACAAATAAATGTATATCTGTGTAAATATATAAATATAAAATATATAAATATAGAATATATAAATACAAATATATTTATATATTTTGATATATTTATATGTTGGATGTGAGAGCGCGCTCCAGGGTAAAAACGTGTGTGGAGTGGATTTTCAAAATTTGATACCAAATTCAATCTAATTAATAAAACAATTGTTTCCTTATATAGATTACTATAAATTAATCAAAATCATCTTTTAACAATTATTTTTTTCAGACATAGATTAATTTATAATAATTTATTAAATAAAATATTTTTAAAAATAAATATTTAATTATTTTTAATATTTGAAAAAATTATTTTAATATAATAATTTCAGTTAAATAATAGAATAAAAAAAGATAAAAAGAATAAATTAAAATAAAATAAAAATAATTAAAGAAAAAAATTATTTTATATTATTATATAAATAAATTATAAAGATTATATTCTATCATTAAATTACATACCCATATAAAGAGATTCGCTCACAAATTTGACATCAAATTTTGAAAACACACTCCACACACACTTTCACCCTCGAACGCATTCTTATATCTAACATATAAATATGTAAATATATAACTATATAAATATATAATTATATCAAAATATATAAATATAAAAATATATTTATATTTATATATTTTGTATTTATATATTTACACGAGATATATATTTATTTATATATAAATATAATTTATTTATAAATTATTATCATAAAATCTTAGTAGACTTAGTAGTTGGAGTATCAGCCTCTACCATTAATATAATGGGTTCGAATCACTGTCAATGACAATTTTCTTAATTTGATATTATTTCAACTTTTAACGTCGGTTGACTAAAAATCGACGTTGAATGTGTCAAAATTTATCTTTTAACGTCGGTTGATTCAAAACCGACGTTGAAAGTGTGGTCAACGTCGACTGAACTTTGACCATATTAAATGACGAAGTTAAAAACATATTTTCTATTAATATAAAATATTCAAATTATATTTTATTTTACTTTAATTAACTTTAAAAATCACACCAACTCATTAACCCTCTAATCCTAAATAACAAGTAACCAAAAATAGTCTTTGTGTCGCAAACTTTCACGATTAAAATATGTCAAAGGTGAAGTTAAGATTTACCTTAAATTAAAGTACCTTATTTTTCAGTTAGCTTTCCTGGGATTCATGCCTCACAGATTAAACTGAAAATCAATTTAAAAACTGATCTTGTATATTAAAAGAAAATCCAATTTGTAATAAGTTATACATACATACATATATATATATATATATATATATATATATATATATATATATATATATATAATACTCTTTTATATGTATTTATCAATTTTGAACATTTACAAAGTGATAACTTTGTGTTTGGGATTTTCTCCCTTTTACATGATTTCTCCAGTATCAAATATCTCGTATTTCAATTATGTAGTTATTTTTATATTTCCTTATTAATCAGTACAAAACAACATCATCAATTTAGTTGGAGAGAGGACATGAGTTACTATAAACTCCTTTACATGTCTTGAATTTTTAAATGCAGATAAAATAATAATAATAATAATGATCCTTTTGCTTTCTATTCCTGTCCCTCAAATTACTTACTAGTCCATCATAACTTTTTGTTATATATCACCATCAAACATCAAATGAATATAATAAACAAATAAAACGAGGGAAGATAAGAGGTGCAACCTACCATGTTAAAAGCAAGGCATGTCCTTTTTTTCTCATTTTTTATAATATAACAAACATAACTATCAAGAAAAATACACAAACGTCATCTAAAAATGTATAGCTAATAATTTTTCTTTTTACATTTTTTATTATATTATTGTTTTTATGATTTTGTACATATATTAGTATTTTTTAAATCAATTTTAGTAGTGTTACATACTTATTTTTTTAATATGATATTGACTTTTATTTTAATGATATTAAATTTATTATATTATTTGTTATCATATCATTATTGATCATTCATATTCTTATGTAAAAATATATTAAAAAATAAAAATTATCCATATTTTAATACATCAAAATCTTAAGTAAATTATAAATATTAAAACTATAATAATATATAAATAGTATGTGATCTTCCCTTCTAATCCAATTTGACAGGATGGTTGATATATCACTTCTCAAAGATAACCATGAAGTTGTCTACATACTTTACGCAAAACCATGCATACACCAAGTGAAATAAGATCTTTTAATAGTGGAACAGGCACGTGTACAGGCTATGATTCATGACAACCACCACACACACACACACACTAGAAAAAGAGAGACACAATTGTTGCCTCATATGAGAGAACCCCTCTGGGTCCTCTTCTCAAGTTGAAACTCATTCCACCACCATCACGATCAAGCAGCACCGCATGGATGACCCACATCTTAATTTTCCTTGAAATCATTAACTTTATGCACAACTTCTATAATAAGATGACCAAATGGCATCCTTCGAGCCAGGACCATCTCAATCTCATTCCTTCAAACGCAGTACTCCTCTGTTCTTTGTATTGCATTCCATCTTCAAATCATTGAACTCTATATATGTTTGGACCACATTCTCTATAATATTTCCAAGAAAAAAAAAATATCAAAAATAATTTTTTTTACAATTTAAAATGTTATACATAATTTAGAAAATAAAATTATATAATTTTTTGACTAAGCAGTGATAAACTAAAACTTTAAAACGAATAATACATGAAAATTGACGCCGTAGCCGTGACACTCGTTCCTAAACTTTATATTTGATTTTGGATTTTTTGAATGCTAGTACATAGAAGCCGACTGTGTGTACTGGTAGAAAACTCCACCTGAAGGCTTTTTGTGTCCAATTTGGCCCGATCTCTTTCTTGGGATCTAACAACATGTAACAAAAAGGTGTAAACACAACTCTTAGTTATGGTGTGGATATTTTATATTTAAACTAAGTTGAGTTCTTAATGTTAATAGTGAGTCTATTAGAAAAAAAATATCATCCTTGTTTTTCATTTGTTTTAAATTTAATGATTTTGATAAATGTCTTATCTTTTACTATTAAATTAAACGAAACCGAAAGGTGTTGTCCTTGATGAGTCCAAAATCAGGTTACTGTTGTCCATGAGTTTGGTTTCTTCCTCAGCATATCTAAAGGATATTTAATTTTTTTGGTATCACCTTCATAACAGACTTTTTCTAACCATTAAAAATAAAAATAAGTAATCATTAATATTAAATTCTTCAATCTGAAATACTATCACAAAAATAAGATTATATTCTATAAAAATTAATTTAAAAATATATTTTGGATTAAGTATTCTAAAATATATTTGTGAAAAGATTAATATGAAAATATATTTTAAATTAGATATTCTGAAATATATTTTTAGATTGACTTTTTCATAAATATATTTTAGAATAGTTATTTTAAAATATGTTTTTGAAAAAATCTTTTCAAAAATTTATTTTGGATTGGTAGTCTGGAATATATTTATGGAAAAATTAATCTAAAATGCATTTAAATAATGAAGATAAGTGTAAGAGTAAAATAAAATTTAATTTAATTAAAAAATGCAGGAATAAATTAAGAGGGTGCAGAAAGCAATATCAGAAGAGGAAATTTAAGAAAAATTTGGACTTTAAATGCATGAGAAATTCGACTATGTGGATGAAGAATGAAAAATTTCGTCCGTTATGCATTTGGGCCTATTTGTAACGACCCAATGCGATGTTTTGCTTCGTAGTTTTAAATTAATTTTTTAGTGAATATACATAATCCAAATCAAATCCAAATTTATTAAAAATTATAAATACTCAAAGCAAAAGTTATATATATATATATATATATATATATATATATATATATATATATATATAGAATATTATTCTGAAATAATATTAAAAAAATTATTATTTATGAAAATAGATTACCTCCCACTTTATTTATTCAAATAAACATATTCACTGTGCAAATTCAAAATTCGATTTTCCGAATATTAAAATCAGGAATGTGCACCTTAAAACCATGAAAGCAGTCTGAATTTGGTCTGGGAACCGAATTCCGAACT